TCTAACTGTAGCATGGACACTAGTGAAATCAGCCTTGAGTGTGACCACATGGAAGAGACAGATTCTTGGGAGAATGACAGAGAATTAGAAAGCAACGTCTGACAAAAGCTTCAAGAGGCTTTCAGTGTCTTATATGTACGTATTTGCATTCCATTTGTGGAGCAAGAAGCACTTTTTAATATTTTTGTGACAGTCAATTCAATCCCTATTATATTTGTACCTGTTGACCATAATACTGTAACTGCCGGTATGTGTGATTTGGAATGTGTGGCAACTATAGTCTTGTGATAGTCTGTAAATGTCTCAATGCCTGAGACAGGTACTTGACCAAATATTTCACACGTCCTGTTGGTAGACATGATTTCTAAACTACCAGTTTTAGACATATTATATAGCAGGTGTCCCTGTTTATAAAATGCCCACATTTGATGTTTCAAATGGCAACTTAACACAAGTTGTCTGGATGGCATTTTTAAAGTATCAAAGTCAGGAAGTTGCATAAAACAAGGTTTCAAAAAGCCTGAAGTTAAAATTGATGAATTACTTATTACTTGGTGATTTGACATAAGTACATTACTTGGCATTAAGTACATCACTTGCATGGGTACAAGCTATCACAAGTAGTGTATTGGACAGTGGATGGTGTTCAAAAAATAATGAGGACTCAAATGATGTCCAACCATTTATAAAGCAGTGCTATATTTTAGGATAAACTAAAATAATAAGCCAGTAGGAATCTTAAATACAGATTGATTTAAATTTTTAGGGTAAAATGTTAAGATAAACATGTCAACAATTAACATGGCTAATGTAATAAAATAGGGTTTTTCCAAGTGCATAGATGCAAGATAATCATTTGAAAATTGGCACTTAATTAACAGTGAAAATCTAAAACTTTATATGATTGTGCTGTGCAATAAGCAGATTCAATAAACATTACAAGAACATGGAAACACCAAAAATGACAGCTGAAATACTTTGAGTTCATTTAAACAGAATTGTTTTGCTTTGTGTAGCCCTTTCTGAGGTAACATATCAGTTTGTATATAAAATGGTGCTCTCGCTTTACATTTTTTGGTTTGTCTTACATTTGATAAATAAAAATTATAATCAGTACTGGGGAAATTAGTTGGGCGAACAGCAAATAAACCTCTTTCTCAGTTTCCATGATTGCTCATATTCCTAGCCTCCATTGCAGGTACAGATGGAGATGCTTGACAAGGAAAGGGTGGCACATGATAAGAAGCCACAAGCTCCATCCCTTTTGTAAATGTCTTGTGACATCACAAGCACATAAAATAGAATCAAATTAGAGGAGAACTCTTTTTTCTCATTGTGACAAAAGCATATCCTGTTGCCACCACTGAGATACTTTCTGTCATGAATTCTGTGTAAGAAACTTGTTTAATATGCTTCTCATATTAAAATTCAGAATACATATAATGTGATTCAGATGTAAACAAAACATTGGCAACCTTGCAAAATTTGGAATAGGGATCCCCACTAGAAAACATTAGAAAGGCCAGGTTTTTAAATTAATTCATTCATGTTTATAATGTGTTTTATCAGGAGTTTAAATTGCTTAGCTAATTGTGATTAAAATAAGCCACGATTGCCATGATTAAAACCATGATTCAGATATTTTCTTATAATAGACCTCCCGATAAAGCATTGACTTCTTTAGCACCAGTCTGTACCATTCTATAATTCTCTGTTGTGAGAACCGTCTGTATCACCTACTGTTATTCTAGCAACTCAACTGCAAAGTGTTCTGATTAACATCTCAGAAAAATGTCCACTATTCTTTGATTAGCTTTCCCAGTTAAAGTTGGGAAAAACGCCAATAAACTGGGAAATTGAATAAAAAAAAATTACAATTAGGTTTGAACAACAATAAATTCAGTACCATGTTTCCCCGAAAATAAGACCCTGTCTTATATTTTTTTTGAACCCTGAAATAAGCGCTTGGCCTTATTGCCATGCACTCAAAAGCCCGATTGGGTTTATTATCAGGGGATGTCTTATTTTGGGGCAAACAGAGTATTTTAATGATTTTTTTATAAGTGGGCCTATAATATGCAACTTAGTGCACTGAAATATAATTATTATTATTTTCCATACAGTATAGACTCCAACCTCAGTTCAACAGTAACATTGGCAAAATGTATACATCAAGCATTTTATGTTTACAGAAAAACTAATGGAGAAAATAAGGTGTCAGTTTTTTTTTTCTTTCACAATCTGTTACACAAGTAATTATGTTAAAATAATCAGTATATAGTAGATTATTTTACTTCTTTTTTTTTTAAAGTATTAATTACCAATATCACTGTTTAGGACATTTCTGTATGTATAGGATTAAAATATTATGGTCATGTTTCACTCTTGTAATTTATTTAACTTGCTTTATTCTGGAAAATGTTCACCAGTCAAGGGAAGCAGATCCAGTGACTTATGGTTTAATGCAATGTTCCAGACTGGGCCTGGAGTAATAGTTAAAAAAGACGCAATAGAAAATACATTAAATTGCAATCTTACAATTTTTACAATCTTACAACACATGGGAATAAGTCCAAATGACATAGTGGGACTATTTCTCAGTAAATATACCAAGGATTGTATACTTAAGTTGTGAACTACTGAACTGACAAATACTTGCCAAAATGTTAGAGAAATTTTATGGTTTTCATTTATTAAAAATACTGTATTAGTGATTAAATATTTTTGCATAATAGCCTTATACTGTTCTCAAAACATTTCAAATAAATTACACTGAATTATGTTCCGTATCTCCATGCTTGTTTGGGAAAGGCAGAATATCTTTTACTTCAAAGTATTATTAATTTTATATTTTAGCTAAACTTATTGTATATTACTGATGCTCAAAATGGGTTTATGAAGGATTTGACATGTGAGAGCTATAGAATCAACTTTATCAAATTATTTTTCATTAGTTTTAAGGTGTTTGCTATTTCTGAATAGGAACAAGCACCGGCAACTGTCCAGAATCAAAATGCATACCCCCTTAGAAATCTTACAATAGCAGTTGATTTTATTCTTTTAAAAGGGAAGCAAATATCCCTTATGTACTAGCAAATATATAGGGCTGTGTAAAGAATTCAAAAGACGTGCTTCATGTGCTATAGCTGCTTTAGTAATTTAAAGAGGGAAGGTTCTTATTCTTAGCTTCCTTCAATCTCTTCTATGATTAATAGGTTAAACTTTTATGAATATTTGAGACATCAGGCAGGACATTATGGTGGTCTTTCTGCTGAAATTTTAGAATGGTTCTCCCAAGCCAACCAATGCCAAGTATTTTATTTTACGAGAAAATATCTTTGGAGCAACTGTAGACCTCAGTTTCTTCTCCAGCCAAGTAGATTTTTGAGATTTGAAAAAACATGGTTTCCTTTACAACTTTAATTTTAAAACTGTGAAGGCATCAGAGCATGTAGGCAGTCATGGAGTATAGACATATGAGGTATGAGGAAAATAAAGGCTAAAGTAGTTCTACTGGTGGTAGGAGCCCTCGGGGCTGTGACTCCTCTCTCCCTCCCTCCCTCCCTCCCTCCCTCTCTCTCTCTCTATATATATATTTATATAATCTATCTCATATTTTTTAAAAATCAGGAGCAATATGAGCTTCTTGTAAAAATACTTGTTCCATGCTGCAGTTATTTTTTTTAATAAATATCTCAGGCCTTGAATATTGCATGAAAATATTATGACACTGTTTAAAACATTAGGCATCATATATACAATGGAAAGACCCAATATGCCAAGTCAAGGCAAAAATAGAACAGCTTAATCTGAAACAAGCTGTTGCATATTAATATTTTTTAAAGCTGCTCAAATAAAAATAGGAATAAACTCAATTATGGAAAAACACATGCCTATAAAAAAAGAATCAAGCTGAAATAAAACCCCTATTGAACGGAAAAACTATACATGAGGAAGAGAAGCATCTACTTGATATTTTCAAAATTATTGGGAAGACTTTTATTGTATTTTACTATCAGAATGAATTTCAGATCTTTCTGTCAGCTATCTTTAACTTGGAATCTTCAGGGCTGCCACAGTGGTGGATGGGCAAGCTGTGGGAATGGGAGGGGGGTAGTGGAGACAGAGTGGGGTGTATAGCCATAACAACATATTTTCCCTTAGGAGTCAAGGACTTTCAGCCTGCACCTGGGGAGGTGTGACTGGGAGTCGACTACAGTTAGGACAGTGACCTGATTAGACCATGTGATGCCCATGTGGATGCAGGGGAAGGAGCTTTGACTTGACTTTGGGTGGGGAAAATCCGTCGGCTTCAGATTTGGGTTTTCTCATATCTGCCAATATGACATCTCTAATAAATTCAAGCTTTGAGGGAAATGCCTGCCTTGGAGTTTTGATTTTGTTGTGGGCTTACTTAGAACCCTGACACTTACATTCAAATATTTAGCAGCAACAGGATTATAACCTCCTTTTACTCCACCATCAAAAGAAGAAAAATAAACATCACAGGGTAGAAAAAAAGGCTGCATCTCTCATCTTGTTCCATAAATGTGGTCTTGATTCAATTTATTATGAAAAAGTAACCTTCACATCAAGGAGAATACAGTGAAATTGTTTAAACTATTACTGCCATCTGCTGGTACTATTTTAATGAAAAGTAAAATTGTTCAGAAGAACATCTTAATTTTTATTAATTTTTAATATCCATTAATTATTGCAGTCTAAAGGCTGATTCCAACAATTAACTTTTGTCTACTCAAATTCTTTAGAATCCAATCCAGAATAGGAAATTTCTAGGAAAGAAAAAAAGGATCTAGGTTGTTCAACCCAGGATCAACTTTTTATAGAAGCAGCCTAATTAACCAAAATGAAGATTGTCACTTTTATACATGCTTGAACCAGGCTATCTATAATCAAATCTCATTAGAATGTAATATATAAATTATACAAACTATGATTATCCTGCATGATTGCTTCCCTGTAGATTTTTAATGACTTACCTGCTTATTTTGTCAAGTCCTGAAAGATCTCATGAAACCAGATCATTTCTCTGCTTCCTCACCACCTTCCTTCCGGGAAAAGCAGATTACTATTAACTGTAATAAGGCAAGTACACCAGATGATTAATTTTGAGTCCCATGAAAGGCACACTGTTAATTACATGTGTGATTGTTTCTGGGACTCTTCTGTTTTATGGGCCTAATTAGGCTAGGCTAGGGAAATATGCCCATTTGCTGATGCTGCACCTTGGGCAGCCAAATATCTCGGGATAGCCCTTTACTGACAGTTTTAAGCATATGAGGAAAGATTAAATTATAAAAGGAATGTTCCCCAAATATAATAATTACACATTTAATGTTATCACTGTTATAACTAGGGTGCAAAAACTAATCTACTACCTATAGATCAGGGGTGAAATCAAAAATTTGTTACTACTGGTTCTGTGGGTGTGGCTTGGTGGGGGGAGTAATGTGACTGGGTGGGCGTGGCCAACTTTTTTTTTTTAACGTTTAAAAGCATTTTTTCTACAACCTTAAGAGGTTGCAGAAAAAAAATGCTTTTAGAAGCCTCTGACAATCAGGCAACTCAGCTGGGATCGCCAGAGGCTTTTAAAGGCATTTTTTTTCTACAACCTCTTCGGCTTTTAAAAGTAAAAAAAAAAAGCCTCTGATGATCACACGGCTCAGCTGGGCATGGGGGGGGGCAGGCGCAGGGATTTTTGCTACCGGTTCTCCGAAACACCCACTGCCATCGCTAAAGGATCGGGCGATCCAGTTCGAACTGGGAGCATTTCACCCCTGCTATAGATAGTAGCAAAGAGATATAGACATCTCTTCCTTGCTACCTAATGCTTGACAGGCAGACCAGAAATGGCTCTAATTAGAACCATTCTAAGTGCATATGTGAACATGTTAGTCTATCGGTATTCATGAGACAGTTTTATGCATACATACATACATACATACATACATACATACATACATGCATAGTTTAAAAATATCTTCTATCTACAGACTGCTGTTAATTTTGATACATATTACCAACCTTAAGCCACAGCGCTTTGCTGACTTGTGAGCGTTTGGAAGCTAAGCAGGTGCTGTCTTAGCTCAATACTGGCATCTGTTGCGTGATGTGACCTTGCCCAAATTGAACTTCCTAATGTGGAGATTGTAAAATAAACTGTATTCTGTAGAAAAAAGAAAACAAGGGGATCTCTCTTGAACTACCAGTTCCTACCCAGTGCTTTTTATACAGTATTTAGATTTAGAAGTTTAGATTTAGAATAACAGAGTTGGAAGGGACCTTGGATGTATTCTAGTCCAACCCCCTGCTTAGGCAGGAAACCCTACACCATTTACAAGTTATACATTACAATATCACAAGCTGTTCCCTGTGTTCTGACACCAATGTCTTTATATGCTATAACATGGCTCTTCCAGGACTCTTCTAAATTCAGCAATACACTTTTAGCAATACCATCTACAACAGTGGTGGGTTGCCCCTGGTTCGCACCGGTTCTATAGAACCAGTAGTAAAACTAGCGGAAGGCTCCGCCCACTGACTCCAATGTTATCAAAATGGTTTTGCGCATGCGCGAGTGAAGCAAGTGTGCCGCCCCAATGTGAACCGCTAGTAAAAGTAAGTAGAACCCACCCCTGATCTACAAGTGTTTCTTTTTATGCGTTATGCCTTGTCCCATAATATGCCTGGGGTCACATTTTTGCAAATTAAGCATTTTGCTTTCAACTTTTATTGGGAAATTAGGCCTTTCCAATCACAGAATCAGACCTGATTAATATTTTGATGGAAGATTATAGGCTAGACTGTGATTTCTCTGGATTTTATCTAAGGAAGAATCACTTAGACAATGATTCTTAGACAAGAATAGCACTGCTGTTGGTGTGTGTGTGTGTACTGTATAGCAATAGCACTTAAACATATATAGCACTTCACAGTGCTTTACAGCCCTCTCTAACGGGTTTACAGAGTCAGTATATTGCCCCCAACAATCGGAGTCTTCAGTTTACCGACCTTGGAAGAATGGAAGGCTGAGTCAACCTTGACCGGTGAGAATCAAACTGTTGGCAGTCAGCAGAATAATGTATAGTACAATATGCTTTATCAAATCTAGAGGAAACTGTTTCAAGCAACAACAAATATCCACTTACAGTTTCTGGAAGTTTGGAAGAAAATATTAAGAGCAGAATAAAAATAAACACAGGAAAAACTGGCACTGAGGTCTATTTATTGAACAATGTCCATAATGGCCTAATTTGTATATATTAAGTCACAATTGATCATCAGGAAATCTAAGGCAGTTATGGAGTTATTAGGAGACACTGTGTTTCCATTATTATGGAGACACAGATTATGAAATTTATAAAGGTAGCAAGACAGAAGTTAAAAATGAATACTTGCAACCAGATGATTTTTCTGCAATATAGTTGAAGATTTTCAAAGAGATGCTGACAAAACAATTAACAGAGGTAATAAATGTCAAGTATTTCCTCCTTTGTGACTGGAAGCTTTTATATCCTTGGTTTATAAGTAGGGGGATGAACTACAGGGCTGAATAGGCCTGTCTCCTTATTGGTTATAGATTGGAAGCTTTTAATAGCTTCTCTTGCAAAAAGGTTACATAGTCTCTTAGGCAAAATAATTTATCCTGATTAGATTGGATATATCCTAAAGAAATATATGAGACATAGTATCAGACATATTTTAATGCTACTGATAATAGCATTAAAATATACTGTAAGATAATAATAGCAGGTAAGAAATAAGCAAAATTTGGACTGACTGTCCAATTTTAAACTACTACTAAGTTGTTACCCGAGTTGCAGATTGGACCATATTAACATTTAGTTAAGACTACTATAGAAGCAGGATTCTCAGAAAGCCTGCATAAATACTCTAGTCTGATACAACTGTGCAATCAATGCCAAACAGATTATTCAGTTATATGTAGCCTATTAAAAGTATGTCACAAATATAAAAGAAGAAAACCCTGTCTTGTCCTGTCTTGCTTTGTTGTTAAATATTTATTTTCATGAAAGCAAACATGCTAAAAAATTAATCATCAGAGAAATAATTCATATGGACTGCAAGTTTTAATCTGCAATCTAAGAAATATGAAATATTTCAAGACCCTTTCACTGGAATGTTCAGAAATGCCTCAATAGTGTTTTTAAATAAGCAATATAGTTAAAAAGGAATTACAAAAACTGTTAGGACCGCTAAACAGGCCAAAAACAAACTCCAATGGAAGACTAGAAACATACTTTGCTGAAGTAAACCATAATAACAGAATCTTGCAAGTTTTGTTATGCTATTCTTCCCCTCAGTGGTGAAATCCAAATTTTTTTACTACCAGTTCTGTGGGCATGGCTTGGTGGGCGTGGTGTGGCTTGGTGGGCGTGGCAGGGGAAGGATACTCCAAAATCTCCATTCCCATCCCATTCTGGGGCCAGCCAGAAGTAGTATTTGCCAGTTTTCCAAACTACTCAAAATTTCTGCTACCGGTTCTCCGAACTGCTCAAAATTTCCACTACCAGTTCGCTAGAACCTGTCAGAACCTGCTGGATTTCACCTCTGCTTCCTCTCCTCCTTACACTTCAACCAATCAGGGAGGCATTTGTCTAAGCTGTTTCCAAATATTACCTTGCTTTTCAGAGCTAAATATTTCAGGCTCCTTTGCCTAGGTACTAGTTTTTCTATACAGTATTTCAGCCACAATCATTTCCGTCACTTTCTGATAAAACAAGGTGGCATATTTAAAGTTTTGACCAATAACACAAAACCCCGAATGCTATAACACAAAACCCAGATAATCTTTTAAAGTTTATATAGCAGTTATGATTGAATATGATTCAGGAAATGAACAAGCCAATGTTTGTATGAAAAAATTAATGCATAAGTTAAACAAGACAATTGATATGTAACAATGGGAATTACCAATGGAAGAAAAGTATGTTTACTGGTATGAAAACATTTATTGGTATTGTTTTCCACTGATATAGTACTTCAGTATCAATTGTCAGAATGGATAATTCATATAAAACTGCAGGAAAATGCAATAACCAGGTTCAATAATTCTTCCGTATTTTAATGGCAATGTCACAAACTCAACAATTCTGATTTTTATTTATTAAAGAAATGTATATAGCCTCCCATTTCGTGAGAAGTGAATCGTCATAGATGAAAAATCTTTAAATAATGCTTTTCTATTAAGCGGGCCAAAGTCCCATAATATCTTAAATTGGCTTTCTACATGATGGATGCTACTAGAATACTTGCCAATTATTAATAGCAGATAATTATTATCTGTCCCAATTTCTGATGTGATATAATACTAGTTTTTAAAGTGCCAAACGAACATATGATCATTAGGGTAGTTTCATTTGGTTTTAGTCTTGTTCCTTCAAGTCAGTGTTGACTCCTGATGACTGCCTTGATAGGTTTCTGCTGTTTTCTTGGCATTTTTGGAAGTGGTTTGCCATTGCCTCCCTCTATGGTCATAAGCAATTGGCCCAGGGTCACCAAGCTAGCTTTGTGCCTAAAGCAGGACTAGAACACCTAACCTCCAATATTCTCCTTTAGTGTCTTTACACCTGGGACAAACTTTTGGTTATCATTTTCCCTCTTCCAATATAAAGTTACTTGTAAGAATGGTGGAATATTTTTTCTTTTTCTTTCAGTATTTTGTAAATTCTTAATGTATTTTTCCTTCTTTTTTTCCTTCTTTAAGGATCTTTGAAATACTGTGTTATCTTTAAAAATAAAAATTTTATCTTTAAAAATAAAATAAAATAGTTTTTAAAAATAACACAAAAAATACATTCATAATGGATTTTTTCAGAGATTATGTTCAGACTAAACCAACAAACCAGATATAATCCCAAACAAAACCTGATCACTAATTAACTGCTTCATTTTTTACAATGAAATCAGCCTTTGTATCTTTCAATCAAAAGCCAGCAATGAGGTAATGTTGTCCTAATAGTTTTTGAATACTGCCACATTTTTGTGACAAATGTTATACGTACTGTAGTTTATGAAAGCTTATGCTTTAAAACTTTATTACCTTGATGAGAATTGCTGCACCTAAGAGGATCATCTAAGCATACTTGTAGTAAATCCAGAGTGCTGATCTTTTCCTCTGCAGTGTTGCCTAGGCAACTGAAGTACCAACTTTCAATTCTTATATTCATAACCTGTAAATCAGAAGCAGGTTTTTTCCCCCCTCTGGGGAAAAAATGTAAAAGGCAGAATTTACTCAGTGAAATAAAAAAATGATAAATTTTGTGAAACCTAATTCATTCTTTTGAATTAAGAGCTAAAATTTATGAAATGTTAATCACATTATTTTTTTAAAAGCCTTATTGACAGCTGATCCCAAATCCTGTATGAGTTTGTCTCAATACATTTCTTCCATCACAATAATAATTATTCCTATTCTTGGTTTAACCACGTAATCAAGTATGCAAGTTACCATATAGTACAACTAACAAGCAAAGTAGCAGGCTTTTGCTAGCAGGTCGAACATTTGTATTAGTAATTTTAACTAATTAGGGTTATACATTAACCAACAAGGTTCATACAATACACTTTGTGTTGATATAAATTTCTTTTTGGTTTTTAAGTATTTGATAACTACAATGGAAAGATTCAAGTGGTGATCTCAATGAGAAAAAGTAATCCAATGGTATCCATGCAAAACTGCTAAGAATGTAAGTTTCAATTATCTTTTGGTAGCACGGAAAGTATCTACTTGTGAGAATGGATGGAAAGTTACTCTTTTATAAAATGTATCAGAAGAATTATAAAATACTTTAAGTCAATAACTCTTACTGCAAGCCTCAGTAGCAAGGCCAAATAAAAACCACAAATGATAAAGAGCTAATCGCTGTGTGTCAGCTTGATCTGAATGTTCATGGAAGTAAGTCCACGCTCTGGACAAATGGTAAAAGACAAGATAAGATAGATCCTGTTGTAACAAGGCAGGGGTAATCACGTTTGTCATAAACACAGAATGTAAGGGATCTTAGGCTTGACGTATATTGTGTGGAACACGTATATTGTGTAGAAATGTATAAATGCATGGTGTGAAACTTGAAAAGTGCACTTCACGATCTTAATCCACATTGGGAAGAGATGAGGAGGCCTGCCTTTACAAACGCAATTCAATAAACCTTCTTTGTTTGTACATCAGAGTTGTCTGTCAAATTAGTGAGTAAAATTTTTGAATGTTTTAAAATCTCACATACTGTATACACTTTCCTTGCTACTGGCCATATTGGCTTGGTCTGATGGAACTGAATCCAAACTTAACGTAATGTAAAGGAAATGAAGTAACATACAGATTTACCTCAGCTTAAATCTATCCAAATTGGTCTCACAAATCTGTACCATTGCAATGATTTGAGAAAGCTGTGAAGAATCTGCAAAGAACACATATGTAGCACACATGGATGAACTGCTCAATTTTCCATCCTCCCCCATTGCACTCAGATTTAAGCAAAGTGTTGTGCTTCTTTTTTATTTTATTGCCTTTGGTGTCTCTCCTCTTGGTAAAAAATCTGTTCCAGAACTAGTACGTGTTTATGGTAACTTATTCGGCTATCAAAAGACACTTCTCAGAATAGCAATAGTACTTAGACTATATACTATATAGTATATACTATAATATGCTGACTGTAAACTGCTTAGAGTGTGTTATAAAGCACTATGAAGTGCTTTATATATATAGTCAGCATATTGCCCTGAAAAAAAAATCTGAGTCCTTATTTTGCCAACCTCAGAAGGATGGAAGGCTGAGTCAACCATGAGCTGGTCAGGATTGAACTACTGCCAGTGAGCAGAGTAATAACTGGATTCTATCCACTGTGCCACCATGGCTCCCAGAATCAAGCGAAGCTTACCTACTCTTTTGTATAGTGCACTTTTCTTTCTTCTCCAGTTGCTAATTGTACTATAGAAGTAGCAGGCTACTTCTGCTGTCGGCTGCCAACAGTTTGGCAATTCGATTGTTGACTCAGCTTTCCATCCTTCCGAGGTGGGTAAAATGAGGACCCAGATTGTTGGGGGCAATATGCTGACTCTCTAAATCACTGAGAGAGGACTGTAAAGCACTGTGAAGCTGTATATAAATCTAAGTGCTATTGCTATAGGACAGTGATGGCTAACCTTTTTCTCGTTGTGTGCTGAAAACGCGCATGCATGCATGCCGGCACCCATAATGTAATGCGGGGAGGCCCTGCGCATGCATGACTCCTACGCTCCCCCCTCCCCCCTGCGATTGCACACGCGACCCCATATGCTCCCGTCTCCCTGCATATGTGCGCGATCCTCCCGCCTCCCATTTTGGGCCTAGCAAGCCTCCCTGCAGCCTCCTGGGTCCAAAAACAGGCTGGGGGGGGCACACTGTCCCCTGCGCATGTGCATGCGACCCCTGTGCATCAGTGCATGCACATGACCCCCCTGCATGCGCACACATCTCCTGCATGCGCCCCACCCCCTACATCCTGAAAATCAGCTGGCTGGCAGGAGGCTCACACGTGCATGCATGGTGGAGCTGAGGGCTCTGCGTGCCAGCTGTGGCATGCGTGCCATAGGTTCGCCATCACAGCTATAGGAAATCTCTCATTTCACTATCAATGTAGTATTCTTTTAATAACTGAAATATAACATCAGGGTTTAAAAAAAAAAAATTGATGAAGCTGCAATGATTTCTGCTTAGAATGTACATTGTTAGTGAAGGAAAAGCTGACCCAAAAAGCTGTGTGGACAATTAGCATACTTTGCTTTTATTTATGAAGAGAACAAATGGGTTCCATCACATTACCAGATTAGCATTCAGTAAGATGAGATAGAGACTATTTCTTACAGTTATCAATCTACTATAGTAATTCAATTATTTTATAGATGTATAATCTTATGTCCAAAGCAACGTGTCCCGTCTCCAGATTTGTAACTTTTTTTAGCGTTTACAACTTTTTATAAAGAACATGGCAAACGTTATTATTAGATACATAATGGGAAAATTCACACATTTTAATTTGAACTTGAAACGAAGTCAATTTTACTATTTATGAGAATATGGCCTATAGTGCACAATTGCCCCAAAATATTGAGGTACATGCTCTCGCACCTTAACCATAATAAAGTTTTCTGTGTTAAGACGAAAGTGGAGCATTAATTAGAAACCAAATAATCAAAGATGTGCTGACAATGAAAAAAAGCTTACTAAAGTTTGCAACAGGTATGCTACCTAAGATGTGTATCAAAATACATGAATAGCTGGGACAGTTAAAAATAATGCCTTTGCAATAATAATGTTTGAAATACAAGTTTTGTTCAATATTTGCTGAGTTTTCTGAATCCATGAAAAAGCAGCCTTGTATATGCCTTCACATCTAAAACTGCAAAATACATTACTAAAGCGAAAGAAAGTTCTTTTCTACGCTAATTTGTCCATCTTTCCAAACTTTTTGATACCGATGCATTATTTTGGGCTAGGAAGGAGGAAAAGACAGCGAAGGCGAAGCTAAGACATTTTTAAGAACAGAAAACCGACGCGCATAAATACAGTACTTCAAATCATGAAGAAAATAAGCACCAAACTACTTCACTGTTAAAACATCTAATAAGGAAACCATTCCTTCCTTCTGGTTAAAAAATTCGGTTTCCTTCAAGTTAAGGGCGCCGGTAAATCACCATTTCGCAATGACGTCTGAGAGGGGGGGAAAAAAGACAGAAAAAGAGCCTATATTTTGCGCACCAAAGTCGAACTTGAACTTCAACCATAACCACGCGTTACTCCACGGGCTGCCACGCCCTTGTACATCCCCGGGCAGAACGCTCGGGGCCCGCCTCCTCAAAATTTATCAGAAGCGCTGGACGCTGATTGGCTGCGAGGGGAAGTGAAAAAGTCCCTCCTCTTTCCTGACGCCTCAGCGCCATGTTATCGTGAAAGCGGGGAGGGAAGGAGCGGGAAGCGGTGTCTTGCTGGCTAGGTAGAGAGGTTGGCGGCGGCGTTGCGGGCTCCCTGCATGGCGTTGAGGAAGGGGGGTCTCGCCGGGGGAGAAGCGCAGAGTCGTTTCTTTCCTGAATGCGTCGCGCAGCTTGAATGGCGGACGCCGCGGCTATGAGCGGCGGTGAAAAAACGCCCGAGCCCTCTCAACGGGTGGAGGATAGCAGCGGCCTCTTCGGTGTGGAGAACATAGCTGCAGCAGCCGAAGCGGACGATTGCACACAAAATGGCGCCCGCTCTCAAAGAAGCCGAAGCGATGAGTCGCCGCTACTAGACCCTGCCGCCGTGGAGGACAGGGAGTCCCCGCGCAGTGGCCACCGCAAGACTGGGGCCTCTGCGGCCCTCGAGCAGACCCAGGCACAGCCCTTTAGCGAAGGGCTGGGGGCCTCGCTCGTCAGAGCCCCCGAAGATCTGCCTCTTAAGAAAAACTTTCAGATTCCCAGGAAGAGCCGAGAAAAGAAAGGTTGTTACTTCGAATCCCCCACCCGTCCCTCACGCCTTCCTCTCCCCCGCTCGCCCGTCTTCCTTTCCCTCCCTCTCCCGCTTTCCTCCTTTCGCTCCGCATACATGGTGACATCTCCCACCCCCTGCATGCAGCTGGCTGGCGGGCGTGGAAGAAAGCCCGCCTCTAAGGCAGCCTCGCAGGAAAGGAAAGAACAGAACAAAAAGAGAGAGAGAGAGGCTTTTGGAAAACGCAACCCGCTTGGGTTTGAAATGGCTTCGTTAGAATCCGAATCGCGATTCGGGGGGCCGGGAAAAAAAAAAGGCTGGAGGATGATGCCGCCGCCCAAAATCCGATGCTCGCGGAAGAGATGGAGGGAGCTCGGCTCGGCTCCTCCTCTCTGCAACAGAGGAAAGGCCTCCGCTTAGAGAGGTTAGGCGGGATGACGCCGTTAAACGCGAATCGCTTCCGTGAGATGCTCTAGAATAGATGGATTTCGTCCTTCCCCACGAGGCGCTTTTTCTCCCGCGTGTTTTAAGGAGGGAAGTGGTTCTGCGCCACGTGCTCTTCAAAGGAAGCTTAAATTTTTATATTTCTACCCTTCTTTCCTTAGGGTCCGATCTTGCCTTGTGAACGTGGCCTTTTGTGGCAACTCACAAAACGTTTTGCCTCGAGTTAGCTTTCGTTGGAAGTCTACTTTCAATCCTTTTTCTTCAAAAGCGGATTATTTCTTAAACCTCAGTTAAAGATAGAGAGAAGAGGGAATCGTCTATTAATAAATAGGGCTTCCTGTTTCTCATTCTTGGAGAAGATTCATCAACTTAAAGCAAGTATGTTAGAATAGACTTTTAGGTAAGGTAGGTTGACTTGACCTCCTTCTTGAAATTGACATCTCTGATTTATATAACACAGGTGAATCAAATGTTCTGTTAGGTTGAGAGTCTTCCTTATTTATCATCTTAATAATGGGCCAATCAATGCCTTTTTAAATTAAAAATCGTAATTCGGGAATGTTATAGAAGGAAAACTTGAAGAGCAATCCAGATTCATCTTTACAGAACATCTCAAAAGTCTTGGTTCTTTTCCAAATAATCAGGCTTTCAAATACAGATCGTTCTAGTGCCACTTTTTACTCTGTTGCCATTGTGTAGTCTTTGTAGCAGGTACAAGGATCTTTAGTTCTTGAAGATAAATTTTATCACAGCAACATTTTTTGCTATTTGTATTGGCCAATTTTTGTTAACAGTGTACTTAAGAACACATTGGTTTTAATAGATTTACAAATGAAGTTCTTTAAAAAGAGATAGCCTTTTTCCTCTTAAAAGATTATTCTGATTTGATCTGTATTCCAACAGCTCAGCCCATTGTCAAGCCTTGATAATGGAAAATTATTGTGCCATTACATAAAGAGATGATCCAGTCGTCCTCGCAAATGTCTACTTAATTTGTAAATAGCCAAAGATGCTTCATGATAGCTGATCACTCCATGACTGAATAGTTAGGGAAGATATGAAATTAGATACTTGAAATTTTTGGATGAAACAAGTAGCCATGGTAATTAAAAATAATTATAATTATATAATTATAAAAATAATTTTATTTTTAAAAATTAAGATCCTGATTTTTTTTAGATGGGTTCAGGTCAAAATTCCATTTCTTTGACATTTATATGTCTTCTGTGAAAAATTCTTGATGATTTTTGAATCCCATATTTCCAAGAGGTAGAGAAGAAAAGTTCTTCATAGACTTACCCTGTTATTGGTTTGGCTTCAGAATTGCAACCATGTAGAATATTGGGAGCATATTTTTATTGGTCCCATTTTTTAAAACAAGAATATTGTAAAATGTACATTTGTTCAACATAGTTAAAGAATTTTAAGAAAAATGGAGGATAAATATGACCATCTTACCAATTTTTTTAAATGAAGCAAATGAAGTCTAATCAGAGGTGGAATATGATATTGTGGGAACCATTCTGTCCAGAGAATTGTAACATAATGTTTGCCTCAAAATGAGCAAAGCAATGAAGAAACTAATAAGAGGGATTATGTAATTAGTCTCTTGCCAAAGATTGATTGTGGCGAGTTAGAACTCCTTGGAGATGAATGAGGAAAATAATAATTTCTTTTTTCAGAGGAATAAACTAGAAAAAAAAGGTGAACTGAAATGTGACTTTTTTAAAAAAGCTTCTAAACTCAAGAATGTTTGAGACCATTTGATAGAATAGAGTGGTCTCAGAAGTATCAGTTCAAACTGTAAGCCACATTAAGTGAAGATCTTTTTAATTTTGGAGTATTAAATTTTGAAGTTAATTCTAATATAAAGAAGGCAGTAATTAGTGCATTTTGTAGAAAAATGGTAATACCTACAGAGAAGATTCCTATGAACCAATATGTGAAATTCTTGTCTTGGAGTAACTTAAGATAAAAATAAATAGATGTATTTCTGAGGAAGCAGTTTGAAGCATCGTTAACATTGATTCTATATATAAACTGGAAAAATATCTCTTCATCCCAGTTTATGTCATGGCTCACTTGTTATGAAATGTAGTATTGTATACAAACAATCTTACATTAAATCTTTATCACTTTAAGATTTGTCCATTTTACAGCATGAGATAGGATATCCATCATTTTGAGATTCTGGTATTCTAGATTAGGCATCTGAATTGACAAATTTAGGATGTTCATCAGGTTTTTAATACTTTGAACATTGAGCTATGCTTCAAAAGAAACTGACTATATGATTTTTTCATAAAAGCCAAAAGAAAGAAAGAAAGAAAGAAAAGTCCTCATCTGATACTTAATATTTTTATTCTAATTCTTTAAATTGGGAATCCAACTACAAATCTGAGTATTTATTTTATTCAGATACCTTTTTCATTTATACTACTCATACTGCTTTGCCTTCGTTCTTTGATATAATGAACAAGATGTTATATATATAATTCCCCACCTTTATATTTTGTGAAAGAATCAGCTTTATTGAAGATTGAAAGCTATCTAGAACTAATTCTTGATTGTGCAAAGACATGTTTTTCTTTTCTAGACAAGATTTCTAATATCAATATTATGTATGAAGTAAGTGGAATGAAATTCTATGCTGACCTTTGGTTATCATGCCATTCATATAAAATGTAATGGAGAGTGTGTTTTTTAATAGACACATCTTTTTTTTTCTTGGCTCACCTACTTTGCAAAAATGGAAACAATTATTAAACAGTACAATGCACAGTCTATGAATATAAAATGATACAGAAAGAAGTGAAGATCTGATACAGTGCTCCTATACTGAAGAATAGGTAATCTATCATAGAAATTTCCAAATTCAAATGAGAGTCTACATTTGAATTATACACTTGGGCACAGAACTTTGGTAGCTGTGTCAGTTGCTAAAAAATAAATTACTTCAGTTTTTAAAGCTTATAAAGTTAAATATTACTGATCCATCAGGTTTCTTTCTGGAATACAATTTTTAAACACAGTCATGGCTCCTTTTTTCCTCACTTTTTTCCTTTTCTCCCTACTGTTTCTTGTTCTGTTGAAACTGAGTTCCCTGTATCCCTTGATGTGAAACTTTATCAATTTTTGAGACCATGGCAGTGGTGCCTATGCCATTGCACTGAATTGTACTATTTCTGAAAAAGGATAAACATTCAATTCCACGGCTTACCTGCAATTCACATTAACTACATCTATATTGCTACCTGTTATAGAAAAAGAATTCAAAAAACACTTTTAAAATTTTAAAAGTAAAACAAAAGCCTTGCATAATGAAACCTTGATTGTTCACCTTCCCCACATCCAGTGCACATACCCAGCTCTTCCCTGACTCAATGTGGTACATGCTAAAACAGGTGTTTTAGATTACAAATCTATAATTTCTGATTTATCCATGCTGATAGTTGTAATCTAAGATATCTAGAGTCATCACTTTGTGTGTGGCTAATAACATGCTGAATATTTGTATATAATATCTGAAGTTTGTGAAACTTGAGCTGAAATCATATATACAATTTAATAGATAATGCAGAAATTGGGACTCAGTGTTTTAAAAAATAGGTATCAATTACTGTTGAACATTGTGTTCAGTATTCATAGAGGTGGATATTAATAAAAAAAGGCCAGAGGTTTAAAAAAATATATTTGCTAATATTTGGACTCTAATGTTAGATTTTCCTAGCGTACTGAAATCACATTGTAACTGACTACTGGTTCTACTTAACTATTTTCAGTAACTAAAGTTAAACATAATAGCTTTAACACTGGATAAAAAGGAAGAGGAAAGGAAATAACTCCTCCCTCTTTAAATTTTTTAAATAATAACTAAACTTAAATAAAATACACTTTAAGCTGTGGATATTCATGCAAGCTTGCCAAATATTAAAATATGTGTTCAGGTGATAGTTAATTTTTATTGTTAATATTGGAT